GAAAACCCAGACATATAAAAAAATGCAGCAAACCATACCAAATTCAGTGAGAAGTAGGGACAGAGTCAATCACAGAGTTGGGCCACTACCTTATACGGGCCCTGCCAAGATGCCTGCAGCTTGTCTGTTTTCACAGGTTTGTGCACTAGGACCTTTTGCCCAACCTGGAAAGTGCGCTGCTGGGCACCCCGATCATACCATCTTTTCTGTCTCCCCTGGGCCGTCTGGAGATTCTCTCTTACCATCAGAGCGGTCCCAGAGTTCCAATACGTATGGCACTATGGGGGTCCCCTCCTGTTCTTTCTCTCCCTCCCATTGTCCTCTAATGAGATCCAGGGGTCTGTGGATCCTTCTCCCATAGAGTAACTCGAAGGGGAAGAACCCTGTAGATTCCTGGGGGACCTCCATGTACGCAAACAGGGGAGGTAGAAATCTCTCCCAGTCTCTGCAGGCATCAGTAAAGGTCCTCAGCATTTGCTTGAGGGTTCCATTAAAGTGCTTGCAGAGACCGTTAGTCTGGGGGTGGTAAGGTGAGCTCAACAGGAGCTTAATGTTGCACACCTCTCACAACTGCTGGGTGAGAACAGCGGTAAACTGGGTCCCCTGATCTGATTGGATCTCCTTAGGGAACCCCACTCGGGTGAATATCTTAACTAGGGCATCAGCTACTGTCTCTGCCTCGATGTTAGACATAGCTACTGCCTTTGGGTAACATGTGGCATAGTCCACCACAGTAAGAATGTATTTCTTCCCGGATGGACTAGGTCTGGCTAAAGGACCCACAATATCAACTGCTATGCGGTAGAAGGGCTCCCCAATGATAGGCATTGACATAAGTTTGGCCTTAAGGTGGTCCCCCCGCTTTCCTACCCGTTGACACGTGTCACAAGTCCTGCAGTGCTGTCGTATGTCCCAATTAAAACTGGGCCAGAAGAAAACTGGAGACGGCGAAACCCCAACAAAGCTGCGGCGGTTCGTGGGGTCGTCATGGTTATGGTGTCTGGTGGAGTGCTTGTAGCCCTCGGGAAGCATTAGGAGCATCCATCAACGGAGGTACCCAGTCGGGGTGCCAGGTGGTCCGTTACACTGCTGATCTCTCCGTCTGTTTCCACAAAGTTTTTAAATGCTACAAAGTACACTTTTATTTTTTCCACTGGAACTGCTATTACCTCTGCTGATGCAGCACCTCTTTGCTGAATCTGGTGCACGGCCGCTATGACTTGCGTTATTATCTCCATTGGAGGATTCGGTCCATAGTGAGCCAAACTTATTTGAACGCCACGGTCAAAACTCGCCTCTTCGGGTGTCCTGTGTGGTTCGACAATCCGTTTGGCTCTATCCATCTCTACCAATTCATTAATGATGTCCCTCTTCTTGCAGTTACTAGCCGGTCGGCCCCGGTTCTCTAGCAAATCATTGAGGGTAAAGCGTTTTAGTTGCTCATAGTGTGCCTCCATTTGCTTGGGTCACCTTGTAGCTGTCCTTCTGGGGTGTGGGAATCATCCCGCCGCTTGCCACTAGTTGTAACGGCACCCCGGGTATAGAAGGGGTTAATGCCGTCAAAGACATTCCCTTTCCCGAATGAGAAGTCAGCTACCAAACACGCCTAAGGATCTGTTTAATGTGGGCTACATGCCTGTCTTTTATGCAGGTCTTCCAGCAAGGGACACTCCCATAGGGACCTTGTGGAAGATGGAGACAGTTTTGTACAGCAACCAATCATATACGTGTACAGTAATAATCACTCCCATATGAACATTCCAAGACCTCCTCTCTATCCTGGAGATAATTGGGTTAAGTGCTAGAAGTAACTCAATTATCTCCAGGGATAGAGAATATCCTCCATTTAATACCAACAGTAAAACACATATAAATATAGATTTCCAAATATACTGAACAGAATTCCCATATCCCCAGATAGCTTAGATCTGAGCGCTCAATATAACCGAACAGCGCTCAGATCCCATACATACAGTTCAATCGCCATGGAGCTAAAGTCTGGTACAGGGTGCTTTCAACAAATGGGCTCCATGGGCTGGCTATCTGGGGCAGTTCTGTTCGTGTATAGTCAATTTACCGAACGGCACAGCGTACAGAGAACGATGAAGGGTCGGTGATTTCAGCGGTGTTCGTGGGAAATAGTATTCGATATTAGTTCCATGAGTTTGTCGATGAACACTGCTGGGTGTTCGACTGTACTTCAGTAGGTCATTCGTATTTAGGTGAATGAAAAGTAGAACCATACGAACAACTGGCAAATAGCGAACAAACAGACGAATCAAAGTTAAATTATAGTAATCCAAAGACAGAGAGGTCTGTCACATGTGTTACAATAAAGATGTTTATACCCTAATTAGGTTTGGTTCCACAAGTAGCTGTAAGAAATAAACTTGACATAGGGTAGTGCAGTCAATGAGTAACAAATGTGAGGTATATTATAAAGTATATTTTTTTTTAGCCTTGAAAAAGACCCGTCAGGGTCGAAACGTCGATTGATTTTTTTTGTACACTTCACATGGAATAATTAAAACAACCTTTTTTTCACTTTAATGAAGACCTGTGAGTGCATCCTGTTTTTGGATATATATATATATATATATATATATATATATATATATATATATATGAGAGAGAGAGATATTTCTTCTTGGGCCAAATATAATGCTCGCAACATTAATATATGTCTATATTAATGAAAAGTACTAATACGCAATCTGACGTTCTTTATAAAAAATATGCATTTATTCTACTTCAACAGCAAACAATAATATACTTCACAGATGGTATTTCTTAACGACGTTACAGAGAGTCATCTTTGTATCAGCAACTCAGGACATCAGAGAGGAGAGCAAAACGGATCGTAGAAGGAAGAGAGGGTGGACCTTTGTCCTATGCCCTTTATAGCCCAAATTACGTCATAACGTTTAGTTTAGACTCTGGCCATATAAGGAAATTCCCCATATAAAGACCACCTCAAATCTCTTATACAGCAAATTCCAGAGACCTCATGGTACAGAATAGCAAATGCCATCTGTTCTGTTTAACCCATTAGACAGCCACACCTTAATATGTATTTGAATAGGAACATATAAAATATGCAATATTCTACATTTCCCTCTGTTTATGGCTTATTTATAAACCATAACAAAATGTTATTTACCTGTCCATTCATACATCATTCGTATCACATTTCATATCACAGTCACTGGGTATAAGAAGAGATGTGTTCATAGCTACCCAGTATCTGAGATTCCTTGGAAGTATTGTGTATTACCCTGTTTACAGTTTCCTTTAGTGTATTCTCCTTCTGTTTAACCTTTTCATTTACGAGTATATACAGTTTTCTAATTCTACATTGCATAACTACTTGTAAAACAATACAAATTATAGATACACATATAACAATAATAAATGGATGAAATAAAATATTTACAATTGCTGATCCTACAGATGATTTAGCAAGTGTGTTTGTGCTTTTAATTATGTCATTCCACCAAGAGGAACTAGAAACAATTGACCATTCATGTTCTATCTCATTTAATTTACCCTGTTCATTTTCAAATTGAATTTCTGTTTCTTTCAACTGTTTTTGTAACAAATATAATAGTATCTTGTCTTTCCTAATCTCATCTGCCCACTTTCTCCATGGAAACTCATTTGTTTGTAAAACATTTAATTGAATAGGCATGATATCTATCTCTTGTATAGGACTCTTCGATATATTAACTTGAGTTCCTTGTATATGTATTATTAGTGGACCACCATTGATACAATATAACCCTTTCAGTAATGTTTCTGAATGTGTACATTCTGAAAATATAGCTCTTACTAACTCATTATTTGACATAAGCTGTACACATACTTTGTCTTTTTCTATGGGAGTTACAATTTCATGAGGATTTTTAACTGTTTTAATTTTACCGGAACATGAACTTTGGTTTTGAAAACATGAATGATAAATGGTTTCAACTTGGTTCTTTAAACATATTATTTTGGATGCAAAATGCAGACAACTAGAAAGATCTACCTGCTCAAGTTCAGTAATGTTATTATAAGATACAAAATCAGGATATTGTAATTTATAAAATAATAATTGTGTGTTACTAGTAGGAATCCCTAACACCGACATTGAAAATAGTGTTTTTTCAATACCAGAAATTGGTATTAATGAAGAATTTATACATATATCATTGTTACATCCCAACCATTTGTTAAAACATAAATCTGTATGATTTTTAGCGAACGCAAACTCCTCAGGTAAACTACATTTGAGTTCTATAGGAGTAACACCACCTTGTACTGCTTGTGCCATCACCTTAAAATCTGTAGAATATTCAACTTGTGTCTCTAAACAAGCTTTGGCTACTTGGGATGAATCTGCATTTCTCATTAATGCCAAAGCAGCTTCCTGTAAATGTTGAACAGAGGGTGCAATAACAGAGGCTGTGTTCATAACCATATTTTTCAATATTTGATTTAAACCTCTTTGAATATGCAATCCTTTTCCCCCTATTAACCCTACAGCTCCAAAATCATTCTTTAATGTTTGAATATCCATATAATTAGTGATACTTCCTATAGTACCAAATCCAGCCATAATTCCTATATCTCTTTTGTTCCTGTTTAATACTTTACTTCCTCCAAACCAATGTTCTAAGCCTCATTCCATATTTAATAAATGTTCCTTACATTGTGGAAATTTACTTGAAATTTTCCACTGAGAAACATTAAAATGCCAAACTATTGTTGCAAATTTCCCATCTAATAACAAAGGCTTTGATTGAAAATGATTCAATTGATAGGGACTTGATAACTTAAAAACCTTGTTTTTGCATTCTACCATTCTGGGAGAGAATACATTTACCTTAACATCACCACATCTCTTGTGATGATTTCTTAACATTATACAACATTGATAATTTCCACTATCACTGTAGGTAGGATTGTCTAAATAGAAAACAAACATTTCTTCTGACCAATCCACCTTTCATAATACACCTCTGTGAATAACCTTTGGCGTTGTATGTGACATACTACCCAAAAACATTCCTTCCTTTTTCCATGTCATTACAGACTCAGGGGGTAAACTTATATGTGTACTACATGTTAATCTAAGTCTTTCCTTTCCTGGATATCTACAAGACTAGGCTTCATTATAATATCTCGCATAACATCATCAGTTACCAGAAAGATCATGTTAACTCTTACTGTAAACGATTCCCTAGATGCTCGTATTTCCCATATCCAAGGTATACCTGGAGTATTTTTTTAAGAGGAATTCTGGCTCTAAATGTATAAGCCAATATTAAATTGTATAAAGTACCTCACCACCTCGTCCTCGCGTTGTTCACATACATGTCACCTGACCAATTTACCATTTCCTCTTCATTAACTAAAATCATGATATATGCATTTTGTAATATTTTAAGTTCCCATGATCCCATTTTTACATTGTCTTGTACAAATGAACCTTTGGTCCAACTAAATAAATCATTAGGACCTATTGTAATGTTTAAATTAATAACACTATCTCCTGTGAAATTAATTCGCACATTGCATACTTGTAGATAGCCATCTTTTGTCCCGAAACAAACATGACCTTTTAATACTTGTTCATTGTCTCTCTTTTTTCTAATATTTCCCAATAAGTTCTTTAATTCCTGATTGAAAGTCATTTTGTTCATCTTAAAGATAACTATTACAAGAACTGTAGTCATCAGTGTTAGCAGGATGCTGACAAACAACTTCTTTCTGCTACACGGTTGTCTTTGCGGACACATCTTCTGTCACCGGCCCACTTTCGTCTGTAGGTCTGCTTACAAATTATCTAAAATAAACTAAGAAAAACAAAGCAGTATCAATATATTAGCAAATTATGTTGTAGGTTTATACAATTTGCACTGATCTGCATGAACCCAAAAACAATTTTGCCTCACTTTATTCCATTTACCATCAAGAGGTCTTTGCACTTGTACCATTGTATCTGTTATGTTATAAGGACCTTCCCAGTTTGCCTCCCAAGGTCCAGTTTTCGCACTTCAAATTAATATACATGCACACTACGAATCAAAGATATTTACTACTCCGTTCTTAATTACACATTACTATGCAGTTATGATCAAAGGGAGAAAAACAGGAAATAAGGCTGACAGAAAGAAACATACAAGATATAACACCTGTTACTTGTTACATGATGTTCTACAGCACTTGTCTAGGGGTATATTAACTAAGCATTGGATATAGATACAGTATATTATTTCAAATAGCTGACATGCTCCAAGTTAGCTAATTTTAAACAGACTGAACATCCTGTCATCTGTAGCTTGAGTCTTGGGTCAGTACAGGCAAAATGTATTATTCCCAAAACCCCTACATGCTTATTAACCCCTAATAGGGAAAAGATGGGTTGGGCAGCAGCATTGTAACATAGCTGTGTGATACAAAAGTGAATACAAAAAAAAAAAAAAACAGGTCCTGTGCTCAAACTCCCACTACTCTTGGGTGGCAGCAACAACCACATTACACATCAGCCCCAATACATACAGTAAAAAACAAAGAAAGAAACTTACCTAAGCTCTTCCCAAGTCCCTATTCATATTTAAACAACTAAACACATTTAGTTACTCCAATGGCCATGAGAGGGGATGCCCACCTGCCACATCAGGTCAAACCTCTTAGGTGGGTCCTGCACCTTGCTTCCTTGAGCTTCTGGCAAAGATAGTTACTTTCGAGTACCTAAATAACCTCCATTTGTTTAAATATGCACAGGGATTTAGGAAGAGCGCAGGTAACTTTTTTTTCCTTTGGTTCACACAGCTATGTTACAATGCTATTACCCACCCCATGTGTTCCCTATTAATGGTTAATAAGCATTTAGGGGGTTATAAAAATTCCCCTCTCTGTCTCATTAGATATATATATTGCCAGAAGCTCAATGAAGTAAGGTAAAAAGTTAGTGTAGGACCCACTTAAGAGGTTTGATGTGGCAAACCTCAATTTGTTTAAATATGCATAGGGATTTGGGGAGAGTGCATGTAATTTTTTTTTCCCTTTGTTTTTTCCTCAAGTGTAGTTTATGTCTCAATACCTTGTTTCAAGTTTATAAACCCTTCTTAATCACACTGGAATTTAATACACATAAAAAAGCCCTCCCCTTTTTTCCATATATGGTCCAATATGGTGGACTAGTTTTATACAGGCTCAAAAAAAGTGAGTGGGATGTGAACATATTACTTTATAAAATGAAAAAGGCGTCCATATCGAGACTTAAGGGTGTGGTGCAGGACCTGAAGGGGGTAACCCTAAATCTCACGTCCGAAAAACACACAACTGTATATATCTTCTTATTCATTTTTAAGGGACCTACGGTGCCTTTTGGGCTTTATTACCCATTAGACACACTTTATTGTAAGACATATATATTCTGCACTTGCACTTTTGTAAGATTGCATGTAAAATGTGCCACCCACTCTTTATGTTTCCTAACTGCTTTGCACAATGTAGTCTCTGTTCATCCTCTGCGCGCCCCAATCCCGCTTCATTGTCATATGGAGTTTGTAGTCTTATAAATAAGAGCAGTAATATTGTAACTATATATAATCCATAGGAAATACATTGACTAGACTGTGATAAGGATATACAATTTAGATGATTTTTAAAGTGTTAAAATCATGATATCATACTCTGTATTGAATGCTCTGTAATGGATATTCAATACAGAGTATGAATCTTTGGTTTTTAAATTGACTTTACATAATGTATCCCTATCATATAGTCTGTAATCAACCATGGCTTTGACTTTGCTGTACTTGTTCAGTCATGCAATAGCAGAGCAGTTAGTCAGTTTTCCCATGCTTACTTTACACTCCTGTTTGCTCCCCCTGATTTTCGATTTCCACAGTTGAGCTCTGAGAAGTGATTTTCTCTCATAATGGATAATTCAATTCATCATACTAAAGCAGGCAATCCGCTGTGATTACAGTCTTCAGCAAGCAACATATTCTATTCAATCAATAAATATTCACTACAATTTGCAGACATAATCAAGGAGTATTTAACAAAAAAAAAAATTCTGGGGGCATTTGATATGAAAATACAGTTAATTGTAGTTAATTATTTTAAAATGCTACTTTGCAATTTTTTATTTTTATATAATCTTGTATATTTTCAACTGCAAAACTCTAATTTCATTCTTATTTAGATTTGTACATTATAGAGAAAATCTCTGACCCAACCACTTGCATTTTAACATCCAGACTCTCTTCATAGAATAATCAGAAGACTCCTGTGTTTTTCTACTTGTACAATGGTAACTACCAACACATATTTGCCACATCTAATATTTATTATCCTTTCAATACAATTATAATTAAAAAAAAAAAAAAAATTCTAAGGATTAACCTACAAACAGTGCTTATTTGTCAGTGGTCATTTCTAATGTGGTTACCAAATATCAGTAAGCTGTTAAAATTAACAGACACAAAAAGCAGGAGATTTCAAATGTTCTGGTCCATGTTTTGTGCTAATAACATCCGGTTCTACAAATACAATCTTTCTTTTATTGTTAGCCTAATAGCAACTAGCATTTTACTCATGTTTTCTACAAGGTCTCCGTGGAAACCACAACTGAACAGCATTAGAGTGATTTACCTGTGATTTTGGGCGTCCGCAGAAATTTTTCCGGTGGGGGGGGGGGCGGCTTCATTGTAATGACAGCCATGCTTGGTCCCTTTTTCACAGTGTCATGAAAGGGAAGGGTCATAGTCATTATCACATAAAGCCAGGGTGAACAGCGTTTTCACAAATATGGTGTCAGGAATACATGTTTGTATTCCTGACACTATAGGGTTCCTTTAAGCAAATTAAAGGAACATTCTGGTCACCATAACAACTTCAAATAAAAGGGAAATGTTATGATGCCAGGAAGCCCCTGGGTGCTCTTTCCTTTAAGGGGTTAAACCGCTCTCAAATGGTTTAACCTCAAAGGCTTCCTCCAGCTCCAGATCTCCAGGTCGCTCAGTGGTATTCGGCTTCTGAAATGGAGTGTCTGGAAGTGCAGATTGACGTCAGGCATGGGTTCTGCAGATTGGCTAGAGTGGTTAGCTGATGCTCTAACAAGCAATTAACTCAATTATCTCCCAGGCAGAGGGGAGGAATTTACTGTAATTAATGGAAGTGTTTAACTGTGTGACTGTAAACTATTGGTTGTTGAGTTTGTGTTTTCGGTGCCCAACAAGGTCCACATGGGTGGTAACCTTGTGGGAAAAGTTGCATAAAAGCCAGCCCGGCACATTAAACTTTCAGTTCTGCTTAACCCTCAATACGCAGCCTTGTCTCTTTATTGTAGGGAACCTGCATAAAGCTAATCACTAGCTCTTTTTAGAGCTCTGCCTCTCTCTCTACACTGATCCAGCTGATGGGACATCGGGAATATTCTGCAGCACAACCTCTCGTCAGGGAAAAGGACGTCTCCAACGGCATACACCCCTCTAACTACCAGGGTGGCCGTTACAGTATATCAGGAGGTAGGTCTTGTGGGCCTATGTTTTTGGGCACGTTTCTTAGGTACAGATTGCTATGGCGGGCCCGGTCCTCCATATCTGCCAGTTTGGCTTTGTACCTGCTCATCCTGTCCAATGCTTCCTCTACTTTAGTGGCGAGGCAATTAAGGGACTACGCTTGCGCATCCATGTGCAAGCTCATTCGTGTTATACTTTTACCGAACGCCGCCTTGTTCGTATGAATCTGTGCGAAGCTAAGTGGTCCTGGAAGTCTCAGCGGTGTTCGGGAGTTTGAGTGTCCGAAAATAGTTCCAGACACTCGACGACCAAACCCCACTGGACGCGTTGACAAAATAAGATAACCACCGCCACGTGTTCATGCATACAAATCGACGGCTACCCAGTGAACCACTTAGAACATTTGCGGTTTGGCACAGAGTCAGGGAGTTAATTGGCGGTACATGCCCGGTCCGGGTGGTCTCTGGTCCGGCAGTTTGTTCGGTTATACAAATGGGTTAGCAGGGTTATTTGTTTTCCCATTTGTATGCTCAGTAAAACAAAGGTTACAAATACAGTGGTTACGATGTTCCAAGTCTTTTGGCCAGGCAATAACAGGGAATCTGTTGTGTGGCAGAACCAACCTCGCCACTGGGCACTGGAGAAGCCTGGTTGCTCGCCTGCTGCCTCTGGACTTTGGCCCCCTGTTAAAGACCTTTAATTTCCCCTGCAGAAAGGCTTGTTTGTGCCTTTCTGCCAGGGTGTTCGGTAAATTCAATTTACCGAAAAAACGCACGTATGACCGATCACCTGGCTATGGAGTGTGCCGTCAATTTACCTCCTAGAAGCTGCGGTTAACCGCAGCTTAATTGATGAACGCTGGGTGGCCGTTGTTCGTATAG